CATGTCCTAGGCTCGCCGCCCGCGGGCCCTGCACCCCGGCCGGGGGGCTGCCCTGGGAAGTTGGGGCCAGGCGCGCCGGGTATGCGCCATCACCATGTCCCGCCTGGGCTGGTGGCTCGGTGAGGTCCAGTGGCTGCTCTTGGTGTCGCTCTTCGTCGTGGCCCTGGGCACGGTGGGCCTGTACCTGGCGCAGTGGGCGCTGGCCAGGGCGCGACCCCGGCCCCCGCGGCGGGCTGCCGAGCCTGGCGAGGGCCGGCGCCCCGAGTCGGACGCGCTGCTCGCCTGGATCCTGACGCTGAACAGCTGGAGGAACCAGTGGCAGGCCGCCTGGGTGACCGCCCTGAATGATGAGGCCGAACGGAAAGGGGTGAGTTGTCTGCGAGGGCGGCTCGTGGCCGTGGGGCTGGTGGCCGGGTGCGGGCGGTCGCGGCAGCGCTCTGCCCTGGAGCCTCGCCACAGCCCCGGCCTGATGCAAGTGAGCCTCCCCCGCGGCAGAGCGCTCTGGAAAGTTAGGAGACAGACCGGAGAGCGAAGGACCCGTGATGGGGGACCAAGACAAAGCGGCTGGATCTTGCCCCCCACGCATCACGTGTGCCAGACCCCGGGCGCCCCGGGAGGGACTTGTGGGAGGCACCCACTGCCCTCCTGACTCCCCTGCCCCTTCTGGAGTCCCAGGTGGATTCCGGTACCGGCGGGACACTTACTGCTTTTGCACCTGATGGATGAGTAACCGTGACCCCAATATGATCCCTTGTATAGAAATGCATTTTTGCCCAAGAATGTATTTCCCAAAGGCCTGCGTTCCTTGACCCATGGAGGTGGTGGCCGTTTGCTGAGTGCCAGCCACTTGCGGGACATTGTTCGGGGGGCTTTCGGTACCTCGATCTGCTCTTTGGGTCCTCACGACACCTGGCACGGAGGCGTTGTCAACATTGTACAGGTGGGGAAACTGAGGCCTAGACAGGCTCGGCGACCCGCCCAAGGTCACACGGCCTCTGGGATTGGGAGCCAGCTGCCTCCGCCCTCAAAGCTCAGGGACTTGTCACGTAACTGCTCCTGCGTTCTCCTGTGGTGTGTTTCTTCCGTGGCTGATGATGTGGTGACTTACTTTTACACTTGAGACATCTTGATGACAAGCCCCTGGCGTCCACTCTTTCTAGGCGTTCCACAGAGGGATCGAGGCCTGGTGTGTTTGGGGAGGTACCCCCCAGTCTTTGCTCATCACCCTTGGCTGTCACCCTCCTTCACCTGCCTGTGCAGCTCAGGGGAGAAGCCTGCGGCCATTCGCTTTAAGGAGAGTGAACGCTTCGTGTCTGGATGCCTCACCCTCCAGAATAGTCCCTAGGGGCCCCTCTGGCTGGTCTTTCCCCCTGGCCTTGACGTGCCCAGCCAGAGATTTAAAAAACGAAGAGTCTTTGAGTGTAAATGAATATAAATTCATCAACTTAAAAGACCGTGTTCTGAGCTATTGAAAAAATAAACTGTACCTTTTAGATGAAAAAAAAAAAAAAAAAAAACAGCTCAAGGTCAGCTGACTGCCGTCTGTCTTGATGCCTAGAATCTGTGCCCCAGCTGCCCAGAGCTGGACATCTCCTACTCAGGGGCACCCCCTCACCTCTCTCCCTCTCTCGCTCTCTCTCTCAAGTTATCTCCACACCCAGGCTTGAACTCACAACCCTGAGATCGAGAGTCACGAGCTTTCCTGATTGAGCCAGCCAGAGACTCTGGAACCACCCCACCTCTTGTGGGGGACTTAAAGCCATGTGACCTCACGCACGTGCGCAAACACGGATTCGTTTCCCCAAGAGGCCCCTGTCTTTGACCCCCGCGGGTGACCTGGCGTCGTGGGCCTGGGTTCCGTGGCCGCGCATACTTTGGGCTGGTGGTGTGAACAGGTGGGAGCCCCTTCCCAGGTCTCTGTCAAATTCAAGCAAGCCTGGGCCGCGTGATCTGCGGCGCCCCTCACGTCTAACTGTGGGACTCCCGACAGCTTCCGGCGCAGAGGCATGACCCTTGCGTCCTGCAGATGTGGGATGGCCCTGCTTCAGTCATGTCTCTTCGTGTCCTGACGTTTCTTGATTGGCCTAAAAAAAATAGGGTTGCCTTAGATGGGATGCTTCCAGATTACCCACGTGCCTGGAGCGTTGAGGAAGAAAGGAGGAACGCTCTGGTCTGGAACTGGTCTTTGGTCGGCCAGGTAAAGCCGAGAACACCGAAGAAATAGCTGAAGGTGTTGTCCAGGTCACCCGCATTTTTTGTGTGGGAGCGGGCCGCGCTCTGTGTTCGGGGACAGAGATTTGGCCTGTGTGTTCTCTGTTCTGTACGTGCTGCCGGCCACACCTGCAGGGTCTTAGACATCAGTGTTTCCCCGGTGTCTGCCCGGAAGTGGCAGTAATGCACCGGGGTCAAGCTGAAAACGGGCAGATCTGCTCTGATGGCTTTGCGAGGACGCAGGTTCGTCGCCATCGTGGTGTCAGGTGCGGATTGGCTGTGGGTGCCTGGTGTTTCTCCGCCCGCCCTGATGCCTGGAAGTGTTGCTTGATTTGATCTCAGATGGCACGTTTTGCAGACAGGATCTGGGTAAGTGAGTCGTCGTACCCTGCCCTGTCCAGGCCCACCGCTGTCCCCGCGCTGACTGGCGGCCTGGGTAGAGCAGGTGCTGGTGTGGCGTGAGTGGTTGTCCCGACCCTGGTGGCCGGCCAGCCCCGCGGGAGTTTCCCTTGTCGTCCTCCTCCGGCTCTGTTCCCGCTAATCCCCGATTAGGGTTGACACCCGGAGCCTGCTCTCCGCCCCAGAGCAGCAGCTTAGCGGCGCCCTCCTGCCCCTGCCCTGGCCTGGGACGCCCCTTCTCAGCCCGTCACTGGGGGGGGTTGAGGACACACTGGCTGGCATCTTCCGTGCAGGTGGAATTGTCTGTCACCGGAGACCGTGGCCCTTCCCCACCTAAGCTCTCTGCTCCAGCTTTGAATTTTAACTCTGGCGGGAACCCTAAACTCTGTAGCAGAGCCCCTTCCGTGTGCTGGAGAGGCCGGGCTCACCGAGCCCCCGGGCGGGTGTCCCTGTGCTGTGCCCGTGGCTGGAGTCACGCTCGCCGTGCACGGCAGGTTTCCCTTTGAGACCCACACGTTCCCGTAATTGAGGCACAGCCGGAGAGGGTGAAAGGGCGCGGTTGTTTGACCTAGAGTCCTAACAATGGGCATCTCTGGCGTCCGAGGACGGATCAGTGACTTGCGGCCTCTCCTTTGACCCCGGATGACCAGTGACTGTGGCAGTGCAGGCCGCTCGTGTCAGACGGGCCCCTGCGATTCCGGCTCTCGCTCCAGAGGCATTTGTAAATTAGGCGGGATGGTGACTCGGGGAGCCACAAGAGGAAAGCCTCGCCGCTGGGCCAGCTGGTGGGGTGGTGCCGGGGGTTTGGGGAGCACAGACGGGTTGCCCCTCCCCCGCCCCACAGTTCAGACCCGGTAGGTTGGCCAAACGCAGGCAGCATATACTGTGGTTGTCCCCAGCTCCCCAGGTAGCTTCTCGCCAGTGAGGGGCCTGCAGAGACACCCCTGTCCCTCAGCCGGCCGCCAGGCAATCAGGGTCCCCCCCACCCAGCCACACGTCCCCCCTGGTGCTGCAAACATGGGATTCCCGTCCAGCTGGTGGCGGTTGAGTCGCGGAGAACAGAAAGCCGCCAGAGCTGGCTCAGTCGCCGGCCTGGGAACTAATACCCCAGCATCCCAAGGCAACAGCTGGCGCTCTCCCTCCAGCCCCCCTGCACTTACCTGAATGTTTACAAAGCGGTTTGTGGTGAGTGTCAGCGGCCCCGCTGGTGCTGTGTGTCCCCAGCGCCCAGCCAGGAGGCCCTGGAAGCCAGGGTGCTGATGGACGGGCAGCCGGGGCAGGGTGTCCCTCTCAGGGCAGACGCTGCCGGGCCACACGGGGGGGGAGGGTGGGGGGTCGGAGGTGGGCCCAGAGCGAGGGCTTCGTTCCGTGGCCGGTGCTTCTGGACTTGGATGGAAGGGGGCTGCCCAGCTTGGCTGAGGCCCTGAGTTAGGAGGGTCACCAAAGCTATTTGTCTCTTGAGTCATTTGCCTGGGGATTTTTTCGGAGGAATGTTCTCAATGCAGAGGACCAGCACTGCGGGACAATTTGTGGTCTTTGTAAAAAAAAAAAAAAAAAAAAAAAAAAAAAAAGCCGTGTGAACTTGAACCGTGTTATTAATAGCTCTGACTTGTGTATGAGCCTTGACATTTGAAAAAGTAAACAAAGCGACAAGACTTCACAGTTTTTTGCCGTGAGCTTTGAGCGGCGCTCACAAAAATCCAAACTTCGTGACCGGCGCGCGCGGCCACAATATAGGAGGTCAGTCGGTAAGAACGTGAAGGCGACTTTGGGTCAGGGCGGTGGATCTGTCCCACCCTGAACCGATTGTCTTTCTGTTGCTCAGACATTCAGGGTTCTGTCCTTGTGGGGCCTTCCCACGGGCCATTCCTTTTGTCCGGAACACTTCATTAACCTTCCAGGTCGCAGCACAGAGGCCCCCGGGCCTCCCGTTCTGTGAGGATGCTGCCCCAGCCCCAGCCCAGCCACCTGCCCTGCTCCCTGCACCTCGTGGTCACTTGTGCCCTGGTCCGCTCCCGGGATGGTGAGCCCGGCCAGACCCCTGACCCTCCGGGCACGGCCGCCTCTGCACCCAGCGCAAGGCTGGCCTGGAGCAGGTGGCAGTCGGGGGGTGAATGTCAGGCCCTGGTAGGAACCTGTCCCTGGAGGAGGAGGAACGGGGGGGGGCACGTGCATCACCCCGTCTGGACACAGGCCTTCCCTCCCTGGGAGCCGGCCAAGCCTGGGCAAAACAAGCTGTTTCATGTGCTTTGTTTTTCACTTCTAAAGAATCAACAGTAAACGAGGCTCACTGATGACTTTGCAAATTGTCAATCCGCAACCCGGGAGGAGGCTCCAGTTCCGGCTGGGCTTTGCGCTCACCCGTTCTCCTAAAGAGACAGGAATTCGGGGGAAGGAAGAGTGGGTGTCGTGCGTACGTCAACTTGAACGCGGCCAAAGCTAACTTCCATTCCCACCGGCCCAGCCGTGGGTTGCTGAGGAGGGAGGGGACTTCTCGAACGGCTTGGAACAGCAGTGTGTGCCCTATTGAGGCCAGAAGGCAGCTCTGGGGCTGTGTGACCTTGGGCAAGCCTGACCTCTCTGTGCTTCCTCGGTAGAAGAGGACAGTTTGGGGTCCAACCTGGAGAACAGTCCACCACGGGTGAGATGGGCCCCGTGTAGGGCAGGTAGGAAGAAGGGTCAATAAAGGTGGGCAGTTTCCTTGCAAAGCCTTTAAAAAGAAAACAAAACAACTTTTTACTGCTTTTAGATAGAGTTACAAAAATAACAGAGTTCCATACATTTCCTCGCCCAGCCTTACGTAACCAGAACATAGCATCGGAACCAAGAAATTAACATCGGCACAATGTTACCAGAGTTCCTAGTGCCCTGATACAAGCAGTGTGACAGAGAAGGAATTGACATCCGCACAAAGCCTTCAGCTGAAGACCTTCCTCGAATTTCACCCAGTCTGCCAGTACCCTTTCATTGTTCCGGGGTCCCACGGCGGGCACTGAACCACGGTCTCTCGCCCAGCCTCCCCGAGTCTATAAGCGTTCCCCAGGCTTTCATTGTCTTGCATGACCTTGAGGACTCTGAAGAGGATGGATTGTCGTGTTGCCCCATGCCCCTCAGTTTGGTGTTTTTACAGGATTGGGCTGTGAAACCACAGGAGTCATGTGCCCCTATTAGTGTCCTGTATCGTGGGCTTTGTGATGTCAGAGTACTTACTGCTGGGACGTTGGCCTCGGTCCCGTGGTCCGGATGGTTTCTGTCGGGTTTTCTGCTTTATACCTTGTCTCCTGTCCTGTCCTCGCCTTTGTGGTGAACAGATACTTCGGGGAGCTACTTTGAGACGATGTAAATCTAGCACCTGTCAAACTTCAGCTCACTGATTTAGGCATCCAGGGTGTATCTGGTCTGCAACATTTGCTTCCGTACAGTTTGTGGCTGATGGTTCTCTGTTTCCTTCTATCCTGCGTTTGTTCATTGCAATTCTACTGCGAGAAAGAGCTACCCGTCTCCTCCTTGTCCGTATCCACTCGATGATCGGCACTTGTGCGGCTTGTGGACATTTCTTGGTAGCCTCTTGTGTTCTTCCATCCCGATACCAAACGTGTGTTGATTTAGCACTTCCTTTCTTCGTGACTCCACAAGACGTTTGTTCCAGACTCCTCTCCAGCTTTTTATTTTCCCCTCTTCCAGCCCTGGGTTCAGCCACTTCTGCCAGCAGTGCTGATGCCTTTCCTTGGGGAGGTGTTTAGAAACCGAGATCTGGGCATCGTGTGTGCTCATTACTGCTGGGGTCTCATTCCTTCCAGACCCTTTCAGTGCCCAGAGCTCGGAAATAAGTGTGTGTTTGCACATGTCGGCCATTCTGGACCTTTCTGTCCGCCTCTGAGAGAGCATGACTTCACACTGATGGCTCGGATTGCAGCCCAACAGCGCAGAGTTCAGCCTCCTTCTTTCCTTAATTGTACCTTCCGTCCCCAAGACTGAGGCATCTGGCCCTTCCTGTCTGTAACATATTTACTTACTGGGTCAGTTCTAGGACTCGCACAAAGTCGTTTCAGCATTGCTAAGGGTAGCACCCACGAGAAACACACCTACTGACGAGGTTATGCCTGCTGCAGTCAGGCTGTTGTCATCCAAAGTTTCTTAGGTGAGAGGTGTGTCTTCCCACCCCTTTGGGGGTGGGGGTTATGGCGTTCATTTGTAATGGGGTAGGTTTGTTTGTTGGTGTTTGTGTTCCATCTGGGATTTCTCCCACATCCTGACTTTTTTTAGAGTTCATTTATTTTTTTTAAATTTTTTTTAATGTTTATTTATTTTTGAGAGAGAGAGACAGAGGGTGAGCAAGGGAGGGGCAGAGAGAGAGGGAGACACAGAATCCAAAGCAGGCTCCAGGCTCCGAGCTGTCAGCACAGAGCCCGACGCGGGGCTCGAACTCACGAGCTGTGAGATCGTGACCTGAGCCGAAATCAGCTGCCCAACCAACTGAGCCACCCAGACGCCCCAAGAGTTCATTTATTTAAGAGAGAGAGAGAGAGACAGAGAGAGCAGGGGAGGGGTGGGGCGGGAGAGAGAGAAAATCCCAAGCAGGCTTCCCACCATCAGCACAGAGCCCGACTCGGAGCTGTGAGATCATGATCTGAGCCAAAAGCAAGAGTCAGATGCTTAACCAACTAAACCACCCAGACACCCCCCGCTCCTGATTTTTAAAATTCATTTTTTACCCAGTGATTTGGAATGCCACGTTCGACGTATACAAAGTGTGTCCGTGCATTTGGGTGTATTCTGGACGGGCTGTTCTAGTCCCCTGGACCGTCTGTGTGTTCATGCATCTGCACCACACAGTTTGAATCGCGGAGGTTCTGTAACATGTGTTCACGCTGGGTGGTCCTCCTCCTGGTTTTCCTTCCTCAGCGTGCTCCTGCCGATGCCTGTGTGTTGCTTCTCCGTGCGGGCGTGAAGTCTTGCCCTGTAGACTCTGCAACGGACAGGGTGTGAGCGATTCCGCGTGCTCGCTGGGCTTCCGGAACCCGAGCCTCACGCAGCGTGGGAGGGAAAAGGAATCTCCGGGTCCTTATTTGAACACAAATACCGTACTTCCTTTGCGAGACCGCCGCTTGACATTGAATCTCCCAGCGGAACCTTCTCAGGGTTTCAGTCCCAAAGGTGCAGGAGGTGGGAGAGGACAACCTGCATCCACTGATCTGGGGGCAGCAGGTGATGATGTTGAATCTCTATCAATCAGCTCCCTGAGCCAGCGGTTCTGTGCGCTCAGCGAGCTCGCGGCGGGCACCTGCCGCTGGCCAGCAGGGCACACAGACACGGGACACAACCTCCGGCCGTGGGGAGTGTCTGCAGAGGGGCCCGGGCCGTGACTGCATCTCTCTTGAGAAGTAGACTGGATTCTCCCCTGATGACTTTTAGGGGGGAGGTAGATGTCAGTAAAAGCAGGGCGAGGTTAGAAGCATGTTAACGAGAACGTTCTGTGTCTTTCAGTGTCACTCTTGGTCCTCGGGAATTGTTAAGAAACAGCCCCGGGAGAACTCCATCACTTGCTCGATGGCACTGTGCTTGCCAGGAGAGCTTTGGTGGGTGCATTTTGGCTCAGGTCATGATCTCATGGTTCGTGGGTTTGAGCCCCACACTCTGACAGCATGGAACCTGCTTGGGTTTCTCTGTCTCTCTGTCTCTCTCTCTCTCTCTCTCTCTCTGTCCTCATTCCCTCTGTCTGTCCCCCCACTCAAAATAAATAAATAAACTTAAAAACATAAGAAATTGAAAAGGCCAAGACTTGGTTGACTATCCCTGCCCTGATTTATTATTTTATAAAACATCAGTGTTACCGCCTTGTGGACATATTAATTTAATTGCCTACGTCTCATTTGGAGATTAAAAAAAAATTTTGTTTTAAGTTTATTAATTTTGAGAGAGAGCGTGAGCTTGGGCTGGGAAGGGGGGGGGGGCGGGTAGAGAGACGGGCAGAGAAAGAATTCTAAGCAGGCTCCGTGTTATCAGCACAGAGCCGGATGTGGGGCTGGAACTCCCGAACTGTGAGATCATGACCGGAGCTGAAATCAGGAGTCGGACGCTTAGCCCACCGAGCTACCCAGGCACCCCTCATTTGGAGATTTTTAATTGCAAAAACCAAAATGGACCTAGGCTGATAAACCGCCGAAGGGTTTACTCACGGGGTGCGGTAAGGTGCACAGAGCTGAGGGCAGAGTTGAACCAGGAGACCTTGGGGGGCAGGAGCCCGGCGGCTCCAAAGCTCTGGGCAGCAGGGGCTCAGGAACCCGCTCCTTGGGCACAGCAGCCAGGCTGGTTCATTCTGAGCCAAGGGATCTCAAGTTCCAGCGAGAGGCGGCCGGGCCCTGGGAGAGGGGAAGGGGCCGCACCTGAAGTCACAACGCGGGCAACCGCGTGGACGGGGAGAGGCGGTCTTCTACGACCAGAGAGAAGGCTGACCTTTGCCAGGAGAAGAAGACGGAGCCCTTGAACTTGCCGTGCTTGGCCAGACACGGTGCTGGACCTGCGGGGTCACCCCAAGCACGCTGCCTCGGGAGCCGGGCTTCTCTCCTGCCCGTGTAAACACGGGTGTTCAGGGTTCCCTTTGCCGTCGTTAGGGCCACCTCCCTGGGTTGTTTGCCATCCTGCTCTGGGAACCAGAGCCCGGCCCGGGCACACCGCGTCGTGAGCAGGTTCTCGGGGGCGTGTGCTCTCCGTGACCCCGCTGCTGTTTAGAAGCACACATTTGAGTGACAGGAGTCAGATGACGTTCCCAGCTTTGCAGAGCTTTCTCGCCAGTGTGCCGGTTTTAAGGAGGGCCTCACCGTGCTTCTCCCTCTGTTCCAGGGCCCGCTGCTCCTGTCCTTCGAGGAGGACCCGCTGTGGCAGCCCCTGGGGCTGGAGGTGCACCGGGTCTCCAGCGTGGCCAGGTCAGCCCAGGAGAAGGTGAGCTGGGGCGTGGGCGCCTGCCGTGGACCCTTACCTGCCGAGGGAGCAAATGTAAACCCTAGGTGGCGGGGGTCGGGGGGAGGTTATTGGGTCTTAGGATTATTGAAAATGTGGGCACCTTAAAAACCTAAAAAAAAAAAAAAATTCTGGTCTATCCTGTGATGAACGGATTCGTAAGCTATGGTCGATCAGCACAACGGGATGTGCTTTGGCCTTAAAAAAGGAGTCGGACGCATGCTGCATGCCTGGGCCTTGAACACACGGTGTCGAGTGAAGAAGCCGCTTCTCGTGTGATGGCGCTTATGTCGCGTGTCCCGGATGGATCCATCCAGGGAGACGGGACATGGACTCAGGGTCGCCGGGCACGGGGTGGGGGGCAACGGATTCTGCCTGCCCACGGGTGCAGCGTGTCTTTATGGGGTGACGGGCAAGTTAAACGACCTGTGAATTACGTCTCAACAAAATGCATGTATTTATGCGTGTGCATATATACAGGTGGCATAGATTTGAGCCATTTCGATGCTACGGAGAGTTCGTCTTCCAGCCCGTGATCATTCACAGGTTAAAATTACTTATTAGACGGGTCGAATGCTGTGAATGGTGAAAACAGAAATTTTGTTTTTTATTTTTTATTTTATTTTTTATTAAAAAAATTTTTTTTAACGTTTATTTATTTTTGAGACAGAGAGAGACAGAACATGAACAGGGGAGGGTCAGAGAGAGAGGGAGACACAGAATCAAAGCAGGCTCCAGGCTCTGAGCTGTCAGCACAGACCCCAACACGGGGCTCGAACCCAAGGATCGCGAGATCGTGACCTGAGCCGAGGTCGGCCACTTAACTGACTGAGCCACCCAGGCGCCCCAGAAATTTTGTTTTTTAATGGCAAGTATCTGCAAAAAGTCCTCAGACGCCTTCTCTTACATGGAAGGGTTACCCCCCCACCCCGTGTCTGTCTACCTTTCCCTGCCAAGTTGCACACGCGCCATTTAGCAGACAGTGGGGGGCAGCTGCGTGAGCCCAGGTGGCTGGTGAAGGAGAGCATCGCCGGACCCCGAGCCCTGCCCCTTGGATTCTGCTCCCCGTCCCCGCTGTAGAGTATTGTTTGCCGCTCGGGTTCCTTTTCTGTTGGTTTGTTGGTTGGTTTGTTTAGAGACAGAGAGAGCAAGCGGGGGAGGGGGAGAGAGAGAAAATCCCAAGCAGGCTGTCAGCGCAGAGCCCGACGCGGGGCTCGAACCCACAAACTGTGAGACCGTGACCTGAGCCGAAGTCGGACGCTCAACCGCCTGAGCCCCCCCGCCAGGCGCGCCTGGTTGCTTCTCTCTACAGCTCAGGCTTCTGGCTGGACCACAGCCTCCGTGTTCTTCTTCTGTCGGCGGATAAGCGAGTTGTGTTCTGTCTTCCACAAGCACAGCAAACCCGCGTGGCGCTTGGCAGGGTTACTGTCCCGAGTCCTCAGGCGCCAGCATGGGGACGGCTCACGAGCAGGTGAGCTGCAGGGTTGTAGGCGTGCCCGCTGCACCTTGACCAAGGGTTCCAGGATTGGCCACCAGGGCGCCGTTCCCCGCCTGCTGCGTCCTGGCGGCCCAGGAGGGCTCTCCGCCCCCCTCCCCCTTGCCGGTGCTGGAGTCTCGTGCGATGTTCTCCCTGTAACGACGGTGGGGAAGTCTCTGGAAGATATTGGGGTTACAGGAGGAGGCTGGTGGTAACGATGCCGGGGTGCTGAGACCAGCATGGCCCGTGAGGGCTGAAGGGGCTGGGCAAGCAGGCGCCCGGTGCTTTTATGACACTGGGGGGCTGAGGGCAGTTCACTCCGGGAGCCCCCTCCCTGTCATTGGCCGATAGGGACCGAAGCCCTCCGTGGTGGCAGTTTCCGCTTGGTGCTTTCTGACACTGTCCCAGTCGGGGAGGAAGAGTTCAGGGCTGGCCCGGAGGTGCAGAGGAGGGAACCGACAGGTGGACCTAGCGCTCGAGCGTTTTCGAAGGTCTTCACGTTTAGTGCTAGAAAAGCAACCTCAGGAAGCGGATGGTGAAGCCATGTTTATTTTAACACAGCGACAGAAATGGCGCACGCTCATGAAAACGTTGGGAACAGTGTATGGGGCGCCTGGGTGGCTCCGTCGGCTAAGCGTCCGACTTCAGCTCGGGTCAGGATCTCGCGGTCCGTGAGTTCGAGCCCCGCGTGGGGCTCTGTGCTGCCGGCTCGGGGCCTGGAGCCTGTTCCGGATTCTGTGTCTCCCCCTCTCTCTGCCCCTCCCCTGCTTGCCCTCCGTCTCTCTCTTTTTTAAAAAAAAAAAAAAGGTTGAAAAAATATAGACACCTGTCCTCTTGTCCCCTGCACGTAGCCCTCTTCCTCTGCTCCCCCCGGGAAGGGGCCGCTGCCCCCCCGCCCCCAGTGAACTCTCTGAAGGGTCTTACGCACTGCAGACAGGTGGCAGAGCACATACAGGATCTTGTTTCGTCTTACGAGTTTCTTCAGAGCTTTTGACTTCCACGTGTTCGTGGCCAGATGAGGAAATGGGAGTCTGTCATTGCCTTGTCAAGGCTACGGGTGGTGCTGTCCTTGGGCCAGCTGGCCGGCCAGTCGGGCCCCCAGACCCCCCCAGACCAGTGGGGGGGGTGCCCTGTTGGCATCTGCCTGGCCCCTGGGAGGTTGGGTGTAGGAAACCCCCCAGTTCGAGGGTCCTGCGCTCCGCCTTCCCCATTCATGGACGGACGGACGGACGGGCAGACAGGCCTTCTGGCTGACCACGGTGCGTTTGAAGTCACGAAGGCGGGTTCATCAGAGTCTCTGTTGTGCTGTGACCTTGGAGGGAGGTCTCTTGACACCTGTGTGCCAGGGGAGGTGGGAACACGCCAGAGCCTGTCTCCTTGCCTTCCGGGACCTCGAACCTTGTGTTCTTGGACCGCTGCATCGGGCAGGACACTCACAGCAATGGGGTCCTCCTCCTCTTAGGATCTGCCTGCCCCCCAACATGTTCACACGTACCGAAGCCTCTGTCAGCTTCGCTACGTATCTTCTGTGCCCCGCGTGGTTCTTGAGAAGGAAGAAGCTGTCACGGCACTTGGGACCCACCAACAAAGGTTAGAAAGAAATACAGACGTGCGGTCTCGCGGGTGTCACCCTCCCCTTCCTGAGCTCGCCCTGTGTGACCGGCCTGTATGTTTCCCATCTCCCCGACCCAGCCCTGATGAGGGACATGTGGGATGGCCCCTGAGTTAATGACAAGGACGCGTCCAGGCTGGACCAAGCGGGTCGAGCGTGTAGTCACATCTCTGGTCGTCTAGGTGCGAATGGAGACTCTGATCTCCCTTTGTGAGCACCTTCCCGACTCGTGTTTGGCCCTGAATCCCTGCGGGCCACCAAGGAACCAAGGAGCACCTGCTCTCAGGGTGCCCGGTGCTGGACTTTTTCCTGCAACCCCTGGAGACCCCCGGGCGCCAAACTAATCGCCTTGGCAGATGTCTTGCTCATCAGCAAATGCCCCACCGCCACGTCCCACGCCGAGAGTGAGGTCTCGCTCAGCTTAGGGAGGTGTGAGTCGTCTTGCACAGCCCGTGATGGGTGCCGAACGCTCACCCTGGCCGGCCTCGGCTCAGCAGGTGCGCCGCATGCCTGCAGCGCCCGGACGCCAGGGGTGTGGGCTTTTTCCAACCCGCAGCAACCAACTGGGTGTTCGGTAGCTCGGTTCCATTCTGAGCCGAATTCCACACAGGGCCCCAGGGGAAGGGCGCAGCCCCACACGACTACCCCGCTTGAGACGCCAGTCTCCAGTCTGGGCCATAAAGTCGGGGATTCCCACTCCTCCTCGGGTTTGATCATTTTGCTGCCACAAGTCACGGCATTCGGGAAACCAGCTTACTTCCTAGTATTCACATCACGGGGAAAGAACAGCCAGAGGGGACAGATGCACAGGGCAAGGACTGGGGCAAGGGGCCCCTCTCTGGGCACACCACCCTCCTAGCACCCTGTCGTGTGGGCGGACCCAGAGCTCTCCAAATCCCACCGTTTGGAGTTTTTCTGCAAGTTTCGTTACTCAGGTGGGGTTGAGTAAATCACTAGCAAATCACGATTGAACTCCCCGGAGGCCAGGAGTGGGGCCGAAGGTTCCAACCCCCTGATCGTGGCTGGCATTGCCGGTAACCAGCCCCCGTCCCGCAGCGACGCATGGACCTCTGCCATCAGTCATCTCCATGGCACGCACGAAACACCGTCATCGTTTGGGAGACTGCAGTGGTTTTGGGAGCCGGGAGCCGGGGACAAAGACCAGACGTTTATCCCAAGCGCCAAGCCCTGCGGGGGTTTTGAGTGGTGGCGGGACATCTTCCTGTCACATCCCTGTCGCTGTGGCTCCCTGTGCGCGGTCTCGGGTGGCCCCGGCGGGAGGCAGGACCCAGGCGTTCTCCGTGGGGCCCTCTGCACCGAAGGCATCACCTCTGAACTTTTCTCCCGGGACTCTCTCTGCCTTCTCTTCCAGTCCCAACACGCACTGAATATATTTATTTCTCCCAGACTGTAATTACCCTCTTGCACAAGAGCGACGAGTTTCTACCTACGTTCTCTTTCTGCACACATCCTGGGAGAGTTCTGCTGCAGAACGTTTGACCCAGAAAAGGAGAGCCTTTGTTTCTCCAGCGCACGTGGCCCGAGAGCGAGTTCTTCCCCCACGAGACGTCCCAATAGCCCTTTCACGGCGTGTCCGTGGATTTAGAAATGCCGCGCCGGGTTCCATGGAGGTAAGAGGACTGCGAGGGCCGTGTGGCCACTCCTCCAGTATGAGTCAGGCTTTGAGAGTCGTGCCGTGACAGGTACCCAGTGACGGAGCCATGCATTTCCTGTCGGGAGCGTGTGGCGTATCTCTCTGGACACAACCGCTCGGAAGGCTTGCGGCTGAGAACAAGGGTCACGCTTGGTGCTGGAAGCCGTCTTCGGAGGCTGTGAGCCACGTGGGCTTTCTTGGTGTGAGGCCAGGTGTCCTGTGGAAAGCCTTACTTATCC